CGTCACAATCATGATATGAAATCTTGTATGTATACCACATCATGATGTAAGATTGGATTTAAAATACCTTTACCCGTGATATATTTCTTTAGGGTATTTGGAATAGAAAAGACACACAAGTTCTAAATTGATTCCCTTAGTTATGTGAGAGAATTCCTCTGAAAAGGATTTTATATATGGTATAGTAAAGTATCGGTTGATGTCATTATTTCGTTCATTATGTGAGATAGTTATGTTGCAATAATATTTTATTCTAGTGTGTATTGTAGAAAATATAAAAGGAGAGAGAGAGAGAGAGAGAGAGAGAGAGAGAGAAGAGGATAACAGTTCTTAAATAAAATAGTAATCGTATTAATCTGATTTTTTTAATGAAATTTCGGGTAAGATAATTGCAATATTTTGTTAATCATTCCGTAAATCACACCCCTTTTGTAACATTTAGGATGTTGTGAACCAAAATTTAAATATCTCTCAGAGAAAATTATTATAGTTTTTTCTAAATCAAATATGATCTCATGATTTTCTACACTGATAATTACATCTAAAAAATTCAATCTGTTTCCATAACAATTTCATGAGTGAATTGTATGTAATAAATTGAAACACTTTTATCTGATCGAAGAACTCAGGAAAAGAACGGCTAAAAGAACGTCACATATCTGTAGTAAAAGAATAATTGACAAGGAAGACTTTGTTGCGATCTCCTCTAACAATTACATATAAGACTACAACAATTATTGTGGGTAATTTTGGAACTCATTATTAAAGGTGTATATTTACAGGTATTTGAAGTAAAGTTACAACTTACAAATAAAATTATATTCTTCTTTATAGTAATTATAAACAATTTGTCAAAGTAAATTTACAAATGAAAAGTTAAGTTTATAGAAATATTTAAACATTAATTCAACAAATTATGTATAATTTTTCTTAAGCTATATTATTGACGTGTAAAATAAAAAAGAATATAAAAATACAAATAATAATATGTGCAATATATTACCATTATGTTATATAATATTAAACCAATGTGCATATATTTACATGGAAACTACAAAATATTCTGTTATTGTATATAATTTTTCAATCTAATTTAATGATATATTTATACTATTAAAGATAAAAGAATACTAATTTATGTAGAAACGCACAATTTTACATTTTTCCACTATAAATTAAGTAATTTTTTTCATATATTATTTACAATTTACATAATTTTATATCCTTTTCTTATAGTGTGGTTGGACGTGTGTTTACATAAAATTTAATATCTAAAGATATATAAATAAAAGAATGTATGTGATCAGTTGTATACCGGTCGGAGCCCGCATCCATTTTCAGCTGTTAGTGAAAGCACGCACATGCAAACACCCACACGGAGATCGGATCTCCAATCATATCCCTTTTCCTCTCCCGTGATCCACGTGCGTCCCGCGTACGAAGCGGTACATCGAATTCCGCGTGTGAATCAGCATTAAGAACGTGAAGACCCATCACTTTCTCCGGGCGTCGAGCGGGAGCTCACCATTACTTTCGCCCAAATCGAAGGATAATTGTTCTCTCGTGCGCGTTCCGCTGCGCTAGGATCGGTTATGATTTTCTTTTGATGCATCGCGTACCCTGTCATACACTCTAATAGCCGACAACAACAACAATAGAACCAGCCAAGCGTCACGGAGAAAAGCTCTGCACGCGCCGCCGAGCTACGACGATAAATGTCGGTGATAACGTACGTGCGTGCGTCCGGAATTATATAATAAAACTAAATAATATCACGTTTCGCCCTGAAAATGAAGCGCTATTACATTGTGCGCGCATTATTAACCGTCGTATCTATTATCGGCACGGAATTAATTTTCCGTATAATGTACCTAATGCATAAGAGAATAATTCTGGTTTCGATATCGTGTATTATATATTTTGAAATTGCATATTATATACCTCAGTAAGTACTCTATCATCACGTGTATCTATACTGATATATTGCCGAGATTCTTCATAATAATGGAAATGATATGTAATGATAGTGAGAATTTATAATAACTTAAGTGCGTTTCCAGGATCAGTTCACTTATTTATTTAATGCAGATGATAATTATCGGTTCAACTTCCTTTTTATCTTTTCCTAATTCTAAGAATTAGAAAAATGAAAAGTAAATTAAATCGAGAAAAATATAATAACAAATTAAAATATAATAATAAAGATTACCAATGTGTGTAGATTTACTTCCCTTATATAAAATAAATCTCCCAAGAACATTCTGTATCCTAAGAACATTCTCAAGATATTTCTCAAATAAAGTGTGCCGTATGAGTTGGTTTAATTACTCTTCATCGTTTTCTAATTCTAAGAACTATGTTCATTTTTACCAACATAGATTAATTTTAATCTCGGTTTAACTTACTCTTTATCTTTTTATAATTCTTAAAACTAGAAGAAGATAAAGAGTAAGTTAAATGAAGATTAAAGTTAATCTATATTAACAGAAATAGGTTTTGAGATACGATGAAAAGTAAATTAAACCGAGATTAACGTTAATCTACATTGGAACAAATAAATTTAACTTTGTTATATTTACTTAGCCATTAAGATAATAGCTAACTCTTGATATTGCTGACTCTGTTGTATAAATTTATACAGACCGAACCTGTTCAAATTCACGTAGCATTGAGCGGAGAGACTTTTATCTTTCGATTGCTCATTCTTATTGTTGCAATCGCACCGGATATGTCATATGTGGTAGCTTCTGTTTTCTATCGTCTTTCTCTGCCGAAGCAAAACGATAGGAAATACCGCAAGTGAAGACTTGAACGGACTCAATATAGATATGTTCGAAATTCGTCTTTGTGCCTTATTAATATGTTTCAAAAACCCATCCGCGTTTCCTTTCGGAGGATAGAAACCGGTTTCTGAAGAAATCTTGACGTCGCAACCGTGGATCTTATTCACGGCCTTGAAAAGAGTAAGCATTTTCGCGGTCTAATTCACCGATCTTTCGTGACGAACACTTTCCATTGTGTAACAAATCTTTTCTCGCGCGCTGGCCACTTCATTTCTGGGCCATTTTCAAGATCACAAATGATAGATGTGCAATAATGATTGATTTTCAGCGGACAGTTATGTAAAAATCGCATTTTGCGAGATAAAAATCAAAAGAAGGATGAATCAACATATTTCTATTGATTGTTTGCTTTAGGCCTGATTTACATGATGCCTTTTTACTAATGACTAGCGTGTTAGTCTTTTAGCAGAAGAACTAAAAGAATATAATTTATAAATTTTAATATTTATAAATTTTTATATTGTCTTAGCTAATTTTCTTTAATTTTCTAAAAGATTAGCACGTTAATAAAAAATGTGTAAGTCGGGTCTTATGGAGAATTATAAGATGTATTCACTCTCACGACGCTTATTGCTAGACGATTTAAGTGACAAGTTAAAAGCCTGCTGGTACAACTCTTCCACGTTTCTCTCTTCAGACCTCTATCGAATTCTGTTACGTAAACCATGAGAAGTGTTTGGGCAATGCGTGTACGACGGTACCGAAGCGTGCATCCTCAATGCGACGTCGCCAGCGTTTCGTTTTGAGAAAGAACGGAAGTACTTTCACTGCCTACGAGGATGGCAGCTTAAAAAAAACCTCTTCTGAGGCGCCACGTGACACGAAATCGCGCTTTAAACCAACGATCACGTGCATTTTACGAAACCATGTCTACCTTCCGAAATCAGAGGGAACTTTCTTCTCGTAAATTACTAAAAATGTATACGTTTTCGTGTCTGTCTAAAAATCTCGAGGAGCGTAACGTTTTTGTCGGCCACTATTTTATATCTTTGGAACAAGTTTCTGCATGAATTGAGTTAATGAATACAATTGCTTGGTAAAGGTGGAGTATGCAGGTGAAATCCGTGCGGAAAATTTAGTAGACAATCCAGTCTCATAAAATGAATTATTCAGTTACAAGAAGATACTCTTTTTTTAAAACCAATTTTAATGCAATTGTGAATTATCTAAAATTGATATTCAATCGGAGCATTCCTTCCTTAACAGGCTCCTATTATTAAGTCTATATTATTATTAAGCCTAGAAATCATTAGCATAACGCGATTATTAAACTTAATGTCGTATTATGTTGAAATCCAGGTTGCGAATCTGGCACCGATCGCTTCCAGGCGTCAAAATCACCGCACGCATCGGCTTGCGCTTTTCGCTTAACACACTTTTTATACGTAAGAAACGACTGATAGCCTCTCTTTGGAAAGATAGGTGCTCTCCACGAAGCCGATCTTGCTTTCTCCCCGCTTTTATAGTAACTGCCGTTTAATCACACATTAAATTTAACGAAACGAAACGAAACGAAACCGGGCATTCCGTTCTATGTACCTTCATCCATTACGCCGATTCCGACAATAAATTGAATAAATTTTATCTTTGCTATGTGTTCTCCACATACACGATTATCGTTCGTACAATCAAGCGCGCGATAAAATGGGTGAAAGTTCTCATTTATTAAGTTGATCAATGGACGAAGTTCATCTTGCATTGTTAACAAAAAAAAAAAGAAGAAAAAGAAACGTGCTTTTGATCGTGAGATAGATCTTTCATCGCGTTGCACTGTTTTAGCAAACACCTGCTTCTAATATTGTTTCTCCGCAATAATGAACTACACATACGACGATCTCAAATTATGAACTTAAATTGCATCTTGTTATAGAAATGCAACAGACTTTTCTCTTTCGAATTGCTTTCTCCCTGTTAAGTAAATAATATTCCCTCCTCTTTCCATAGTTTTAAGAAGTATTTTATATAATATTCACACCAAGCTACTAACAATATTCGTTAGTCTCTGCTTTTATCTTATTCGTGTGAACCATTCCCAGATTTCGCACGTATTCTTTTTATATTAGCGCTTTTTAAAATTAGAAAATAGAAAACGCGAGGAATAAAATAGACCACTGGTCTACGAGAGGGGGAAACAAATCGGCGTGAGATTGCACTCACCGATTCAACAGACGTGACCTTCCCGGATTTCTCTTCGGCTGATCGAAGCAATGCGAACGATTTCTCAGGAGGAACCAGCCAGGACACTATTCCTTCTGCACGCTCGATGCCTCGTATGACCGAGGTAGTCCTCAGCACCATAACACAATTGAGGTACCGTCGCAACGGGTGGTTGTTTCCGTATCACCGCAAGATATTGTTCGTCGTTGATTATCTTCCAATTCCACAATCACGGAACGCCCGTACACTCGTAATCTACATATTCAGAACAGCAAGATCAACCGAACCTGCGGTTGTACTCTCGAGACTATTGCAAGAAGCTATATAACGTCTTGTTCGCGTAGTCGTGCGTTATCGCGACATGATAAGGTTTTGTCACTTCGGTGACTAACAAAGCCGTGTTCGAATTTTCGAAATACCGTCTTAGTTCCGTTATTGTCAAGCTTTGGGATTCCTCTCTTTCGTATCTTTAAAAGGCCACCGCCTTTTTTTCATTTTTTTCTTCACTTGCACTTGCTTTCTTTGACCCTGTCTTACACTGAAGATTATCCAATCTCTCGATCTGATTCTCCCGATTCCGAAAGAAAAATTTCTTTTTTGAAACCCAACACTTTATGAACGACCGATGAAACGTATCGATTACCACACGGTGGCGAAGCTCCACGCCATGTGGAAGGCTCGCACCATGTCTATCCTCTCTCGTCGAGGGACTCCGAAGAACGCCTGCTCGTCGTCAATGTCCGCCGGCACCGCTACGTCTGCTCTCACTTTCTCCGTCGAGTAGTTTCATTTCAGTACGTAAAACTCTCTCGCAGTGTCTCCCCACTGTCGCGTGCGAGGTGACAGCCGCCGGCGCCGCCACCAATCCTCGGCATCCGAATAAAAAAAAAATAAAACTAACCAGTGCCTGCGGGGAAGATCTTTGATTATCCGATAATCCAGAATGACTCTTCTTTTCTCCTACTTTGTCTTTTTTTATCCATCATCGGTCTCACCGAGTTTTCGTAATACCTTCTAACATCCGGCAATGATGGAGATTTTCCAGGAAAGATATGCAATAATTTCGGAGTAACTTCAACTTTTTTCATTATAAATTATATATATATATATTTTTTTTGTGTTAGTGATGATAATGCGTTTGTCATAATGCTAGTATATAGTAATATTTTATTTCAAATATCCGAGATAAATGGACAATATTACCGTAAAAGAGCGCGATTCAAAAGGGATCACATCTCCTAGAATTGCAAAGGATGACATTTGAATGTCACCAAAATCTACGATGGTCCACCTAATCTCTCATCGCATTGTTCCTTTGTTCATAACTTCTATAGGATGAGCAAGATGCAGGTACTTAATTTCTTACTAGAAAGTTACAGACATCTGACATTTCTATCTTATTAATTAAGGTGAGAGTTCGTGTAAATATTTCAAAAAACACAGACAAAAGTACATCACAAATCATGTAGAAATCATTACGCAGAAAAAAATTTTATATCTACCATCAAACATCTGTAATCCGAAGAATTTGTTAAGTAGTGATCGAATATCTTGTTTATAAAATAATGCATATTTTTGCAAAAAATTATTTTTAATAATTTAAAGGGCTTTAACGTTATTATTAAACTGTATTTTAGTTTAATATGTAATATTATTATATGGCTATATCTTCAATTTAGAACTGTGTATCAAGATTAATAAATAATCGGCGAGCAGTTTGCCTGAACTGGAAATTGTATAATATAAATTGTATAATATAAATTGACTCAAAAAAGAAATATTATTAGACAAGGTCTGTTTTGATCGAATAAGGATGTTTCGCTTTCGTGTTATAAAAATAAAGTTAAAATCTTTTAATTAAAATTGATCTTCTTGTTTTGCATTGTAAAAAGCCCTAAAGATAGAGCATTTCTAATTCACGAAATATATCTTCACACTTCGCTGGACCGTTGTGGTCCGTTGTGGACGTTTAGGAAACAGTTTGAAACAATTAACTGCAGTCGACCGTTCTAAGAATGAGTGCGGACTATTGTTTTATTTAAAAAGAGCATGAAAAATGGAAACTTCTTGAATTTTGTACTTTACAAAAATATCTCGTTCTTTATATCCCTTAGTATACATAATAATTTTCCGGTCCTTTACTATACACAATAGATTGTTTGTATCTGGGTTAATTTTTACAGATACACTAACATTTTTAAGTGATTCTTACATATTATACTTTAACTTTTAGAAAATATTGTATAATATTTATAAGATTGTGTGTGTCTTTTTTTAAGAAAGAACTATTATTTAACTGTTGTCCTTAGACTGGATTGTTCCACCTTTTGCCAAACTTCAGCTCACTGTCTTACTCTTACTCTCTTATGCTCTTACTCTTTTACTCTTTTGTTTATCCAATAAGTAAATTACCACATAGTTTATTTGAAACTGGAACAATCGGTCCTTAGTGTTTTAAAAAAAGAAATACAGAGGATACAAATAAACTATCATATACACTGAAAAATGTACTAAATTTTAATAAATGTTTAAATAATATTAACTAAATATATACTAAATGTAAGAATTTATATTTATATGTATATATTTGGTAAAAAAACCATTAACTTGATTCAACCATCATTTTTTTATTTAATAAATATTTACTTTCTATAGGTAAATGTTTAGTTGTTGCTAAAATTGAAAAAATGTTATCAAAATTTAGTAAATGTTTTTTCATATACTAATCTCATTTGTATATTTTTTATAATACGATTGTATCCGCCGCGTTCTTCTAAATTGGTTTAATTAAGTTAACATATTTTAAGTTAATATGTAATAAAATATTTTTGCAATCTGGGTTAGCACTATTTAAATCTCAAATCACAAATTGTTTGTAAAGTTACAATTCAGAATTTTCGATAAGTCCTTAACTCGTTAAGATCAGCAATTCGGCCCATTAAGAAGAAGAAGCCGTTTTATTCGAGACATTCCCATTCTTACGAATTCACGATGGCATGAGGAAACCGTTGCGCTATGAATTGTTGTTTAACGACGGTGAAAGTCGAAGAAAAGTGATAAAACAATCTTAATAAGATTATTTTTCGACGTAAAGTTCTAATATGTTACTTTCATGCTTAGATTTGCGTGAAGACGAATTATGATTGTCAGGGGATTCGCCCGCGAGCTTTGCAATCATGATCGGTGAACGATGACGAGCAGTTCTAATCACTTTCGAGATCGGCCTTCGCTGATTGCCATAACATTCCTACGCGCTGATGGTATAAATTATGAATCTCGTGGATCCGTTTCGGTAATATCGTAATTACAAGGACGTAAGACGAGAATGTGGCTATCAACTTTTTCAATGTGTAACAAGTTTATTCTGAAAAAAAAACGGGAAATTAGTATTTTATGATATACAACCGCGTTGATTCATCAAATTATAAGGTAACATTAGGAATCTTGGATAATTTTTTTGTGAATAAGGAATTGTGGCGATATTCGGTTTATAGAATGTTGCAATAAAATCATTGTAATTATGAGCAATATTATAAATTCATAATGTACATAATTAAAAATAACTCAAATTTTGTCCAATTTGAGTTATTTTTTATTATAAAAGTGAAATGAATTTTCATCAGATTGTCACTCCTACTCAATATGTCGTTAATTTAAGTAAAATAATGGAGTTAAATAATTTAACTCAAGAAATGAATTAATATTAAATATGACTCTTTAATTTATTATTTACATGGATATATCTATTTTAAAACTAAGCAATTCAATCACAAAAATGAATTAATTTATATTTTGACATAGAAATTAAAAGTAATAAAATGTTATTTAACTTAGGATATTGGATTATCATTGTTTCTTTAATAATTAACAGTTTAAAATTAAAAATTAATATTATAAAAAATTAGAAACACAAACCATTACTTGTATGTTTATATGTGCAAAAACGTCAAAAATTTATGCAAATTATATTCTAGCTGAAAACGAAAGTAAAAGATGTTACATACGTCATGTACAACGCATTATTAACTCCTTTCTCCTTTTTGACACCTCGAACCAAGACATTGGATTAGTATGTTGTTACATGAACTATCTCTTTGAGTAAACGTGATCCAGCTGACCACAGCAAGCTTGAAACGTAACGCTTATCCGCATTAGTGAGAGTGACAAAACGCGAACCATTAAATATGCGGGTTCGAACTGCAACGAAGTGATAAATTCCTACTGCTCCTAATTATAGAAATTACATTTTAAAACTAATTTGATCTTTTTGTTATAAACGTTTAATTAGTTTTTAATATATACTACCAAATATATGATACCTTTCATGCGCTCGCTTTAACATAACATAGATAAATAAGCCTACCTGATTAATGAGGTTCGTTAACAGCAATGAATTGCATCTATTAAAGAAAAAAATTGGCATGAAGAACGAGCTGAATTAAAATCGAAAGTGTTCTCCGACCAGATTCTATTGTAGAGAGCGACTCGCGGCGTAAGAATGTCGCCGAATGGGAATCCGCGCAAAGTGTGCAAGAACTGGGTCGAAATCGGAGAGCACGATCGCGAAATCATCATTGCTTCTTTTATTTGTCTAGACAACTTTAGCACCCGCCTTTATACCTAGAGTCAACCAAGTGTAACTTTCTCCGTGAACTTCGAAAGTCCGGTGTATCCGTCGTGTGTTTATCGCGACTTCGCGAACAAATTATGTCTCTCATTGCCGGAAGTCTGAGAGAGTTTCTTCTTCTGTTCTTTAGATATCACTATCTATAATGATTATTATTCTATACGGATAAAAAACAAGCTAATATCTTTTAGAGCTGTATGTTTTGCAATATGTAATATAAGTAAACGGGCTGGGATATCAAAATTTCATTTAATAACAAATTAATTTGTTATCAGTGAAAAGATAAACATAATAGGTGTTTAAAACAAGCTACAATTTCTAATGTTTATTTATGTACAAATAAGTATAATGAAATGGAAAATATAATAAAGAGAGAATAACTTAAACTCATTCGGCAACTTTCCTTACTTTTTGTTTTTAAACTTTTGTTCTTTAAAAATAATTACAATATTTTTTTAATAAACCGCATTTA